CAGACCAAACCCAGGGAAGAAGAACAAAGCCCTGAGCACGGTGGGGACAGGGCTGTGGGGCAGCCGTGGGGGTGACAGCTGTCACCTGTCCCAGCTCAGCCCTGAGCCTGTACCTACCAGGATGACAAACAGGGCTGGTGCCACGAAAGCCCAGATTGCTCCGTTCTCCAGGGACAGCCAGCAGCTGCAGGGGAAACCACAGAGGACACACACAGTCATTCAATTAATAATGCTACTAATTTAAAAAAACACCCAGCTTGTAAAACAACTAAAACAGAGTGCAAAAAGACTGATGAATCCTGAAAGCAGGAGATGTGACAGCAGAAAGCTCCTTTTCCCCTCACACGGGGGTCCAAGGTGGGATCTCACCTGGATTTGTCACACAGTCAGTGACTCCTCCCTGCCCCAGCCCAGCTCACTGGACTGCAAGGAGGGGAGAGAGGAAATGCTTTATTTGCAATATTTGAATATTTTGAATTGTTGCAGTGTGTTGTGTGGGATCCTGGGCCACTGGAGCACTGTGAAATGTCTCACTGGGGTGGATTTGTCTCACTGACAGATGGAGCTGGAGGGGGGGAAGGGGCTGGCAAGCACAGCCCTGAAGAGATGAACCAGTTTACCACAGGTGAAATGATTTTAGCGTTAAATCCCATGGTGTTCTTTCAGACAAATTTGCTCTTCTTTTCCTAAATTACAAAGGAAATTAATTTTTAAAGTTTTGGACATTATCCATCCCAGATTTCAGGTGTAACTGCGGTTTTCTTCAGAAGATTGAATATCTTTAATCAATTATTACTCTCATCTTGGTGCAAATTTTCCCACCCTGAGCAGGGAGCTCACTGAGGAGCTCTTCAGTGAAAAGCAGGAAAAACATCTCAGGAGTTATTTGTGCATCATCTCTGTGCAAAGCAGACTTGAGGCTCCTGAGTTTAACAATACACCAGCACAAATCATTCCTCTGCAGACTCCCCTGCTCCTCAGGAGGATCTTGCAGCCCCACAGCCCAGTTTGTAACACATTTACAGATTTCCTCACATCAGATTTTCACTCTTCCTGCACCTGCAGTGAGGTTTCCTCTTACTCACTTGCCACTTTCCCCGTAGCTGTCCAGGGAGGAGGATGCAGAAATGACACAGATCACCAGTGGGCAGCCTGCAAAAGGCAGTGCAGTGGCAACATTAGAATAAAAGTACATTTTCCAGTAATCCCTGCCAGTTCTGCTAAATTCTGTATGAACAGAACTGCTCATTTTCAAATTAAGCCTAACTTAACATCCTCCTGCAGCTGTTTAATCCAATATGTCTTAATCAACTGATGTCAGACAAACAAAATGACTTTTTAATAAAGTACTAGTTTAACTGTTAAACTGAATCAGTGCTAATTCCCTTGGCAATCAGGGTCCTCTTTTAGCCTGGGCTTGGGTCAAGGACTTTCTGCCTCTTGCTACCCAGGCACTGTGGAGGAATATCAGCCTGGTTTAAACCACTTTTCCCCAGGTAAATGCATTTAACCAACTTCCCCAGGTAAATGCATTTAACCACTCTCCCCAGGTAAATGCATTTAACCACTCTCCCCAGGTAAATGCATTTTACACAAATTACACAGAGGCAGTTCCAGTCGTGGTGACACAGGAATGACACAGATAACACAGATTACACAAATGACACAAATAACACAGGGGCAGTTCTGGTGACACAGGAATGACACAGATTACACTAATTACACTAATTACACTAATTACACTAATTACACTAATTACTCAGGGACAGTCCTGCTCTGGCCCCAGCCCTGCCAGGTCCTGCTGTGCCTCCTCATTCCAGGCCAGGAGCTGGACAGGAGCAAGGGCTTTACTGCCAGCAGCTCCCAGTGCAATAAAACCCATCCCTTCAAATATTCAATGATTGCCTGCTAATTCCTGAATGAGTTAATAAAATGGGAAGGTTGGAGCTTTTATCATATTACAGAATTTAATAAACAGTTCCCAGACAGAGTATTAGACATGATAGCTTAAAGTTTCAATTTTCTCTTTAATTCTTCAGGTTTCTGCATGAGGGTTTTACAAAATTCTCTGACAGGTGATTTCTGCTTAATTTTACCACTATCATCCTCACAAATTGTGTGAAGTTTTCCAGTACTAGCAGAAATATTATTTTTTGGAGGAAGTATTTTCATTCTTTAATAATTGCAGCTTGTCCCCTCAGCCTGGGGGATCCCATGCTCACCAGAGGACTGTGG